CACTAATCACAGAACATTGTCTTGTTATCACCTTCTATTGATCTTTCAAGTCAATGCACCGCATACACACATATATATATATATATGTATGCATATGCTTGAACAACCTTTGGTTATAAAATGAAGCAGGCGACAGTAAGCAGAAGCACCACCAATGTCCATATATATATATATATATATATATATGTTAATAATCATTTTTATCGATAAGTAGAACAGACATATGATAAAGCAAGCAGCAAAAAGAAAAAGATTCGAACAACAGGCATAGTGCGATTGTTATTTAATGAATATATGATGCATAATATAGACTAATTATTTTTTAAGATTTTTCATATATTAAACGAAGACAAATAGATAGATCAAAGCATAAAGAAAAAAAAAATCGAAGCATATACGAATGAGTTTTGTTTCTTTCTGTTCATCATCATCAACATCATCAAACTAACACCAGCATAACAAAAGATAGAAATCTTGTTAAGAAAAGAAAAATTCATTTGAGCTCATCTTTGTTTTATGTTGATACAAATCGGTAGCGGCGGAATGTTGCTCATTGGATTGTTTAATTTTTTTTGTGCCGACGCGTGTGTCTATATATCTTATCAGATCGTACACTGATGACGAACTTTTCAAGACACTAGAGATTTCTTAGAAAATTTTGTTTGATCTTATACGTGCACGACTGTACAAATATGTGAACATGATCAAATTACTATTTTAGTAAAATAAACGTATTTAATTGGTAAAGAATTTATCAACTTATTATTATTATTATTCGAAGTTGTAATTATTGAAAATATTCCTTAGAGACAAAAATGAATTTGTATGAATTTATGATTTGAAAAATTAAGAAAGAAAAATAATTATTAGAGATTTACTGTTTTCTTTTTTTTTCCTTTAATTTACATAGAAATGAAAACAAAAAATCAATTATGAATTATTCTTCCATGATATTAAAAATACTTTTTTTTTAATGATTTTTCAGTCACATACCCATAGCAATTTTATTATTGACTAAAGCTTTCTCGACACATTAGATGATACTCTTTGAAAATCGTTCGAAAGAAAAATTCTTTAGAATCTCTACACGAAAAAAAAAAACATTCTCATGGTCATAGAACCTAATTGATGCAATGTACATTTGCACAGGTCAAGCATGATGATATGCTTCTAAAATATCACAAAACAGCACATTCATAATTGAGAAAAAAGAAACATATCTTCATGTATAAACCTTGAGGTTTTTTCTATGAAATATTTCTTCTAAGTCTGAAAAAGTAATTTATTTTCTCAAAAAGATCTAAAGACATTTTTTGAAACACAAAAGAAAACACTGTATGTGTACCCAGTTGCTGTTTTTTCTTTAGACTGCTTCTTCGCAGACAATCGTACTCATTGCATTTAACTTGGAACTACTAATAACTATTTTAGTGGCACATTTCACTGTGAACGAATTCGATCTCAAATATACAAACCTAAAAATAAACAAAAAAGACAATTTAATTTTCTTTTTCTTTTTTTTAGTTATTTAGCTATCGAGAAGGTTAAATGTTGCCAATGACAAGTCTTATTCTTTAGGAAAAAGAGTGCTATATGACATTGCACCAAGATATTAGGGTATGTTGACTTTACTATTCTAGAAATACTCTTGTTATCAATCATTGTCTTCCATTTTTTCAGACGGTATTATTGATATACTCCTAATACGTCTTCTATTTACTCGTCTCTCCTTAAATGTTTTCACATGTAACCCTTAGAGACCTTTCCAAATTCTTCCGCACTCTAGGTTCGTCTTCAGATTAAAATAGTCTTAACAGCTTCATCACATTGAATTGCTAAACCTATTTTACTAATTTGTTCATCAGAAATAAATAAAATGGGTACAAATTCAGAATCATTTAGTCGCAAGCGATTTTTGGTTGGAGACGAATTGCGAGTAACTCATATTATCTGTTTCTTTCTCATTCTACGTATTTGGGATTAGTGAAATCAACTCATTGGCTAACGATGTATTAGGCAACACATGAATTGAAACTAAAAATTGTTGGCGAGGCTACAAAAAAAATTTGACTTTTTTTGAGAAGACAAAATAGAAGATCCTGAGTTTTCTAATGTGTTATTTCGTGTTTTAGAAAGATAAGCGATGAGATATATATATATTGAAAAAGACCTTAAGGCCAAAAAAAATCAATTTCCGTCAAAATCAAAAATGAAAATTAAGATAAACACATAGGAAGATAGTCAAAGTTCTGTTCTTTCACAAAACAATGTGATTTTTAAATTTGGTCATCGTTTTCTGGTCCAAAGTTTTGGTGATTTCCATCACATTCTGCTTGAAAGATTTAGTTTTTGTTTCAGAAAAAGTACAAAATCTTGTTTGCTTTGTCTATGTTTATTATGTTTTTAGTTGCGCATCTCAAAATTCTTGAATGAGATTCATTATAACCAATTGCTCTTTCTTATTTTTTGAAAGAGCATGTTAAGATGTAGGACATGATAAAGTACCTTGTCTAAATTAAATCTCATTACTTTGATGTAAAAGAGTACTTTTATAATCAGAACGTCATATTTTTTGAAAGTTTTTTCGAGACTTTATACTTTTCATTTATTTCCTACATTTAAAAATGAACAATTTAAAAAATATTTTTGTCATGCCTTACACTCTGACAAGCTCCTTCTAACGAAAAAAGGTTAAGGATATGATGGGTGATTCATAAAGAATAAGAATCTCCACATTCTCTCAATATATTCTCTAGTTTTCGTAAATTCGAACTAAACCTTATTTTTATAATAATACGAACATAGAACATCAAAAGATTGCAAGCACGAAATGCAGTTGTCCTGTATTTATGTATTTTCACATCGAGCTATATAGATAAATTTAATTCTCCATTTTGTAGAACTTCAAAAGCTCTGTCTGATTAGTATGTTTAAGTATTCTCATAACAAAACCTCATTATAGAAAATAAATGTTAAACAAGTGTTACTTTTTTTTTCAAATTAAAAAGTCCAGTTCTTTTATTTAAAATAGATCACATATATTTAGCACTTATTTTTTATACAATAAGATTTCTTTATGAAAATTCTTGAACATACTAATTACAGGACAACTATATTTTGTGTTCGGAAGTTGTTCGATGTTGCTTGTTCGCAATATCACTACAATTAATTTTTTACTTTTATCCCTGTGACATCCATTTGTATATGATTTTGTGGAGTATCAAATGATGAATCTTTTTAAAAAAGGTTCAGTTCGAATCTATAAAAGTTAGAAAAGATATTGAGAAAATATAAAGATCCTCATTCTTTATAGGCTGGCTACCTATTAGAATGAAGACTCGCAAAGAATTTTGATTTGCCAAATGAACTTTTTCTTGGTTCGTATTTGTGGAATATTGCTCAAAAACGTGATAATATAGGACTAAATATTTTATCATAGCCTCTTCACTATGGCTTCAACATATTCTGAAAATTTCATGTGATTTCAATATACAAAGAAGTAACATATCATAATAGATGATTAAAAAATTTGAATTACATTGTATATTTTTTGATTTCGATAGTGTTTTACAGAACTGAACAAGCTATTTAATGAGTTTGGTCAAGTAACTTGCTATATTTAAAATTAGAAATCTACAGTTAACGTTACAGAGTCTAAATTGTGAAAGAAGTAAGAGAAATGTATTTTAAGGTTCTCCTCTCAAAAAATAGTTAATTTTTGTCAGAATTATCGAAATTAAGATAAATACATGGTAGGATAATCCGAAATCTAATCTTTCATAAGTGATATAATTTTTTATTCAGCATCTTCCTTTTTTCGTGAAAATCTTTAATGACTTCTGCCATGATCTACTTGATAACAATGCTGTTTTCAGAAAAAACAAGAAATCTTTTTCCTTTTTTTTCTCTATTTATGATTTTTTTAATTGTGTGTTTCAGAATTCTCAAACGAGCTTCATTATAGCCAATTGTGTTTTCTTTTTTGTTTGAAAGAATAAGTCACGATGTAGAGTATAACAATGATCGTTTTTTTTTAATTAAGCTTTATTACTTTGATATAACTGATGGCCCATAAAGAATGAGGGTCTTCTTATTTTCTCAAACGATTCAGTCCAAATCTGTGATAACTAGAGAAGATATTGACAAAATACGGAGATTCTCATTCATTATGAACCACCCGTTCAACGGGTATTTTTCTAATAGTTACACCATTTTTTCATAGTTTTTTGAGACATCTGCTATTCATCCCTTTCTTCCGCTTAACAAGTAAGAATGAAAACAAAAATGAATCTATCATGCCATGCATTCTCACGTACTCTTGTAGACAACAAAAAACATGATATTGAGAGAATGAAAACTCACAGTGAATTTTGGATTGCCAAATAAGCTCTTTTGTAATCCTTGTTTGTTGAATATCTTCGACAATGTCACGAAAGAACCCTCAAAACTTTACCATAGACTCTTCAATATAGACCAAATATATTCTGAAAATCTCATGTGTTTTGAATATACATAACTCAAGAACGATTTTTATGTGTGGATGGAAGTAGTTAAACTTGCTGTAAAGGAATGAGTTTTGAGAAGCATAGTCTGTATGTCATTTATAGAAGAATAAATTTATTTATTTTTGTCGAAATAAAATTAATGTACACATGGATGAAGCATCAAAAGAAGTCTATCAATTATAGATATAAAGAGTTACTCATACATAACTAATCTTTTTTTTTTCTTTTTATAATTATTTTTCAGAGTTTCATATACAAGATTACTTATTGTATTTCTTCTTATATATAAAGTATAGTTAATATACTAAAATGTCATGGCTTACACAAATAAAATTTTGTATCTTACTTATCTTATCAATTCCATCTACAATTTGTTCAATATTAATTTTTATTTATTTTTATCGAAAACGATGCAATATTTCAATTCATCATCATCTAACAATAGTATTGATTATAGGAAGTTTTTTACAATTGACAATAAATTTTCCTTTCATAATGGCTTATTATCAACATGGTATAGTTACTCTAGCATCAGATAAATTTTGTTCATGGTGGACTTGGTGGGAATATGCAATAAATGGTTTATTATTATTTGTCATGGCTTGGGGTTCAATTGAACGACATTTACTTATTTTTAATAGAACAATGATGGATACAAAAAGAAAACGATTCTTTTTTCATGTATTACCTATGATATTAATTTGTCTTTATCCTTTAATATTTTATTTTATTACTGTCATATTGAATACATGCAAAAATCAATGGAATTATAATGCAGTAAATACGAATTGTTTTTTTTTGTTTTAATCTCTAACGAAATTTTCTTCAGAGATAATTTTCCTATGGGAAATTGAAGCTAAGATTTAAAATTTTTCTTTTTTTTTTTTTTCTAAGGTTTTTTGTGAATTACCATGCTATTTAACGGATCAACAAGTTCTAGCAACTTACGATTTTATAGCAAATGTTGTATTTCCTGTTTCTGCAATTGCTATAGCTAATATAAGTTTAATATTTCGAATAGTACGACACAAACGACGTCATCAGATAGCATGGCGTCGACAATATAAATTAACTAGACAACTTGTGTCTATCGCAGTCATATACACAGTATTTTGGTTTCCATTAACATTCAATGGACTTATTATAACTTTTACATCTTCAGCAATATTACAAAGTATACAAGTGGATTATTTCTTTTTTTTACTTCATATGGTACCATCGTTATTGCCATTTATTTCATTGGCTTGTTTATCAAATTTTATGAAAACTATTTTAAAGAAACCACGAACAACCATTGTACCGTTAGCTCAATAAATTGTTGTTGAAAAATAAATATTTAGTTTTTTTCTTTGTTGTATTATAAATGAGTATATATTTTCAATAAACTAGATGTCGGTATTATAAAAAACAAGTTATTGAATTATTATTTAAATCTTTCGAATGTTTTTTTTTTCTCTATATTTTAGAGAAAAATTTTTCAAAATGTTCAGTAGTTGGTACTAAACTATATTTTATTGATCAAGAGTTATCATTTTCTTTGATTTAGATATATTAATTAAAAGATAAGACAAAAAATTAAAACTGTTTTGTTCGACATACAGTTTTTCTCCGATTATTAATTTCGATCGAATTATCTTTCGATTTTCCACATTATGCATTTCTTAGTCTATTATATTAATAATAACACAGAACCCGTAATATATGTAATGGTACTACTTTCTTTTTTTTTTTTTGTAAAAACATCTACAACTAGTAATCATGAATGAGAACCACACGAAATGATTGTCGTTCAACTTAACTTATTACAGTATTCGTTGTATAAAGACGTACACATAATTCTTTTCTGGACAACAACAAGTTTTTGTATTCAATTACTAGAAACAATACAAACGGTGTGTATGTAATGAATGAGTATAAAACTGCGACAAACCAACATTTTTTTATTTTTGATTTTAAGCTTTCAACAATTTACAATTGGCATCATCAGGAAATCATTAGAAAACAACAAAGTTAAGTTATGTCTAGATATACAAAAGGAAACAGAACAAAAAAAACAGACAACTTTTAATTGTGTTGTCTTTGATGTACAAACAGATATTGTAATGTTTTTTTTTTTGTTCTGTTTCTTTTTGTATACCTATATATAGTTTAACTTTGTTGTTTTCTAATGATGACAATTGTAAATTGTTAAAAGCTTGAAATCAAAAATAAAAATGTTTTTTGTCGCAGTTTTATACTCATTCATTGTATGTTTATGTTCGACCTGTACTATCCTCGAATTATGAACGGTGCGTGTATGAATGACAGATGAGATAACTTTAGATTAATCTTTAATATGTGTTGATTATGTTGATGATGAATAATAAATTCTTCGATTACGACTAGAGGATGTGCGGGACGAAGAATTTTCAGTCCCGATTTTGGTAAATCTAATTTGGTTCTGTTTTAGAGAAAATTACATCTAAAAAAATATTCTTCATTACTTGTTTTTTTTGTTTATTTAGTTGATGACTAGCACTTTTTTGAATCATCTTTCTTGCATTATGTTCTGATTGATATGATTTATTGTTTGCGTCAAATCACAGAATATTCAACCATAACCCTTAGTTCCGGTTGGGACAACTTTTTTTCTCGTTGCCACAATCTCGGCAATTTCTCTTTCTCGTTTTTCCGACAGACCTTCAAATATTGGTCCCGTATATCTCTAATCACAGCACATATAGTTCCAGACGGAGGCTTAGCCCTCCTAGAGACGATTGAGTACTACTTAGAAAAAAAATTTGAGCTCCTCTAGAAGTGTTCCCAGAGAGTCTTTGCCTTTTCTACAGACTTAACCGAAGGAGCTGATCCTACTCTACACAACTTTTTTCTGATTACGGTACTAATAGTATTATGTCAGTTTTCTTATTGTTAACGAATCTATGGCTGCTTCATTAGTACAATTTCACAACAAATAATTGATTCACAGATCGAATTGAAATATATTCATGATTAAACATTTGAGACAAATCTATTCAATAGTTTCAAATTAAATGAAAAATAATTCTTTTTAAAACAATTTTATTCATTCATTAATTATGTTGCAATGAAATATCATATTATAAAATCTTTTTTTTTTTTATTTTTCAGTACAACTCTTTTTCATCTTAATTTGTTTGTTGTCCTTTTTGAGAAAAAAAAAGACACGAAAAGAATTCTAATATATATCTAATTGAAAATCCACAACATAATCTGGTATGCTGTAAAATGAAATGTTGGAAATACATAATCATCAGTACACATATACCAAATGGAAGTAACAGAAGATTTTCACAAGAAAAAAAAAGTTTGAAACTGAAGAACAAAACAAAAAGTGACAGAACATGATATGAGATAAATTAATACCGAAGAAAGAAAAAGAATTTATATATATATATAAGTTCGATAAGCACTATGATGATAGATCATCTGTTGGTTGTGAATCAATAATTGGTAACCAGAATAACTAAAAAAAAAATATGAGATATAATAGAACGAAAAGAAAAAAACAAGATTTTCATAAGAAAACAAACCATATTAGTATGAGCTGTTGCAAACATAAGAAAAGCAGGATTGAATTGAATACATTGTATAGCACCATTATGTTCTGTCTAAAATATATACATATCTATGGTATATATTTAAACATAAATATAATAATAACAAACTTGTTTTTCAATAACTTTTTCTCCACTTTCAGCTTTATAAATCAAAATACGATTATCACCCGATCCTATAAAGAAAAAAGTTTGTTAGTGCAGTCACATTATGCAAATACATCACGTAAAAAATCTGTCACAGACTATAGTTGTTTTCCAAGGACAATCGATCACCAGAAAAATGATCTAGCTTATTTATTTCTACATTTTGAATAGAATCTTTTTTTTTAGGGCTCTATTTTTTTGTTTGTCTTATTGCTTTGCATTTTCATAATCCGTTTTTTCTTAATTTAACTGGCAAATAAGTCTGTTGTACATATCCATTAAATCTACAGCAGGTCTCAATGCACTATTATCATAAGCGGCGGAGTCACAAGACTCAAGTAGGCTCAAATATTTTTTTCTCGTTTCATTAAATTGATAGATTTATGTAGTGCATTACAAAAGTTAAATTTTTTTAACCGATTTTAGTTGCAAATAATAACATTTTTGTATTGAAATAGATTTAGTAAACATTGAATTTTGTATGACTGAATGTCAAGCTCTACATTGCCAATGACTTGAATTGATACTTAGATGTCTAAGAAATATTCTTCAATTGGATGGATGTGGGTCTTTCTTTAAATATACGTATTTTAATACAAGTTGCGAATGTTTTTTGAACTCTACCAGCTTTATACAGTGCAAAATGTGAGTTGGAAATATAAAGCACTAACTGCATATCATCTGAATGACATAAAAAGATTAGCCCTCCTCCTCCTTCTTCCTATTCTGAACTTTCCATTGGAAATCGTATGCACATTGTTCAATCTATCCTTAACAGCTTGAATATAGTTTTTTATCTATGCAAAAATGCAGAAACTATATTATTTATATTTAGAATATTTACAAATGTATTCGAATCATTCACATTTTGAGAAAGACTTTGGAATATTCTAGAACAGGCGAAGTCTTGTTGTTAATACCATTCAGAGTCTTTTTACATTGCTAAAGAAACAAATTCAATGATAGTTGGTCTTTCTCTCTCTGCTCCTAGGAAAAACATTTCATTAGTCTCTAACCTTGACTTCCAATTGATAAAGTGTGTAGGAAGAGGCTTGGCAGCTACAAAACTCTATTATAAAATCATTTTAAAGTACTAACCACATAAAATATAACTTGAATCTGGGCTAAAACAACATTGTAATGGTTCTTGCCGATCATTAACAATATCCTAAAAAAAAGAATCTTTAGTAATTAATGAATCAATTATATCAATAAATTTTACAGTAAATTTATGTATAGGTAAACCTTGAAAAGCTTCAATAAGATGTAAACTAGTACCATTCGTTGCAATTGATATCATTTTTCCATCGGGACTAAATTTTAAATGTGTCCATTGTTCATTCAATTGATTTGTATTTGTTGTTTGTCTATCATTATTATCATTGATATCTAATGGTCGAAATGTTGTAAATGGTCCCTGGAAAGTAAAAAAAAAAAAAAAAGGAAAATTCAATATTATTATTTTAATCTTCATTTTTACTACCTGTCGGTAAGTTTGCATACTTTATCAAAATGACGAATATCGTAAAGTTTGATCAAAGATGATTGAATACCGACAGCAAACACTACACCTAAATATTAATGATAAAAAACAGAATAATTTCAATATTAAATAAATTATTCAATTACCTTCAGGATCAAAATTAGCAACCGGACGACTATTCGGTCCTGTTGTTGTTTGTGCATTGAGAAGACCCTTTGAATTAAAATAAGAATTTATAAGAGGAAACTTTACAAAAGCTTTTATTTTTCTTACTTGAGCTGTTGGAATGCGTACATCCCAAAGACGTAATGTATTATCGATTGAAGAAGTAAGAAATGTTTCTTCTGTTGGACAGATACTCAAACTTACAACACTAGAAAAAAAAAACTCATCAATTTAATTGTTGTTACAAAGAGGAAATATATGATTAAATCTATTTCTTCTTAGAGCTAATGGATAGGCGCAGATTAAATCGGATAAAATCTCGTTCAATAGAGAATTTTTCGCTCTATGAAACAATTACACTTGCTTTTTAAATAAATTTTCGTTTTCTAAAGCGAAACTTGGTGTATGAAACAAATTATTTTTACTCTGCCAGATGTAGAAATTAATTCTGAACGAAGTAGTGTAACTACTAAGTATTTCGATTTTTTTTTGATCATTTCTGCTTGGAAAGACTTGATTGTCTACGCAGAGACGAGTATGAATCACGGCTCGCTACGCGCTCCCACACTGTAACGCAGACATAAAAGAGTAGTTACACGGACAAATACTCTTTTTGAGTAATTGATTTCAAATTTCAAGTTTAACATATGTGATAGATTCGGATGTATGGAAAAGAAAATTTCATAACTGAAGTATAATTTTATTTGATATTTAGTCATATTTTATATTTTTCTTAGAACATTTCATGAAGAAATGTTAAAGTGGATTACCTAACAAAAACTTCTCCGAAAAAAGCAAATGCATCAGTTTTTTAGAACGAAAAATTCGCTATCGAACGACTTCCTAAAAGTGTATCGGAGTTATCCAAAAAAAACTACTCCGAATCATTTTAGATTAATTTACCGTTTCGTATGTCCAGAATAATATCGGATATATTTATTTCCTTCTAATTGTAATAATCGAACAGCATCTAGAACATAATATCTAATAGAAATTATAGACAATACAAAAAACAAATATACATACCATCTACTTTAGTTGAACCATGTAGAACTTGTTCAGTTCCATGAATAAAATGTATAAGATCAACACCATATTTTTTACTAAATAGTGTTCGTTTTGTTCTAAAGATAAAATAGAAAAAAAAAACAAGAATATATTTTTATTTAGAAAAATAAACGTAATACGTACTCTCCTTCTTTACAATCATAAATAACAATTGAATCATCATCACTTGATGATATAAGTGTTTCACCATCAAGTGAAAAATTCATTGCATTAATACGATCTTTATTGACCGTAAATGATTTAGCCACATTAAATTGTTTCATTGTATCTTGTGTAAATTTTATTTCCGAAGCCATCTGAAAGACAAAAAAACAAAGACCATTGAAAAACTAGAAAAAAAATAATAATAAAAATTTTATTCTAAATTAACAAGAGAGATTCAATAAAAATCATATGAATGGGTTGTTGACAATGAGAAAATTTATTTCAAATTTGAAGTTATATAAAACAATAGAATATTTCCAATGTTAAACTTCCGTGAATATTGATCTAAATAATAAATAACATAATCACTTTCTATAAATGATCAATAGGTTTAATATAAATCATATTTGGTTTCATATGCCATTTATATCAATATTAGCATTGTTCAATACATAATCAGTTGTAGTAGTGATTATTTTTTTTGTTGTATATTGCTCCATGATGAATCTTTAAAAAAGAAATAGATATAGTATGATAACAACCTATCGAGCTATTAAATTAGAATGAGAACAAAGTCCAATCGAAATTAAGAAGCTAAAGAAAAAAAATATTTAACTCATTACCAACTCCTAATAGATTAACCCTGACGAGACCACCTAGGGCTCACGCAGACACTTGTCAGTTTCATCACATTGTTATAAGTGCACAATATAAGAAGAAACCGCTTATCTTCCAGATATATTCTAGTGAAGACTAGTAAAGTGTGCTAATAATATCTGCCAATTATGAAGTCTCAGTATTAGCTATGTAGGGTAGATCATCACAAAGTACATCTGAACGCTTGTTGACTACATAGAATTCGCCCGGACTTCAGTGAGATTCATTGTTATATTACACATTCATAATATTTAATAGAACTCATGTCCTTGTGGGTATGCGTTGAGGACACTTAGTACAGTATATTAATAACATCAGTCAATCATACGCAGTTGTTCTTCTTATGTAGAGCACAGACGTACAAAATCTATTTGTGTACACCAATAGGCATTTGAGGAAAGGTCCCTAAAATTATTTCCTGTAGGAGAATTTTTTCATCTAGGAATTCGAATTAAGAAATGTTTCTCTCGTAGCAATAAGAATATAAGCTTTGTACACAGCTTCCGTGATTTTTTTTTTGTGTTAAGCAAATCGATTTTTCTTTCACTTTCTTCGAATGTGCAAGTAAAAGCGAGAATTTTCTTTTCCATTTATTTTGATAGCAGGAGAAATGTTATATTAGCGACAGATTCTGAACCTCTGGTAGAGTAGTTCAATGTATATATGACTACAGAATAGTGATGCATGATTTCAAGTGCCTTGAAAATAAATAATGATAAGACCATAATAAAATACTAGATAGCTATAGTTCCTTTTATAATCAAGTCTTCATATGTACATGATAAACTAGTAACAACTTCGTGTATTCTATTTATTTTATCAATTGGGATCTGCACAGATCTCAAGTATTAGTCCTAAGGACGACCTTGTGTGGATTAACAGTTTCTGTCACGATTAGATCCGGCTACAATGATATTAATTCAATATTGTACGTTTTTTAAATTCTACAGTAGCATCATCTGCTAACCAACCGTACTAATATTTTTCAAAATAATATTTAATTTCATACAAAAAGAAAACCATAAACTAACAATAGCTTCTTCAACTCAATAGGATTTTAGGTAGGACTCTTACCGTAAATCAATATTATTGATTTCACTATATAGAATAGATATGTCTAGCCAAAATAACTTACCAAAATTTTTTCAGAAGTGAATGTACAGAGGTTTCAATTTCATTAATTATTTTTCTTAATCAACACATATTGGAATCCATCCATCCATCAACTCCATTACCAATTTGAAGGAATAAAGTTTCACTTTTATCCGTACGATCTATTCATATGAATAATCAATTGTTAAATCAAATTTTCGGCAATCATTTATATAAACCATATGTTCAAAAACTCTCCAATGCAATAGAAGAATCTATAAAACAAATTCATAGTTTTGTTCCTATCTAAAATAAAGCATTACATTACTTTTTATTATTATTATTATAATTCATATGTAAATCTAAATGCAAATATCAAAACAGAAATAATTATCAAATCGCGATTTTAATCTTTATAGCTGCAAAAAAAAACTATATAAATTTCTGTCTAAAATGCGCTATCAATTTTATTTGAAGTTATCAATTTTTCAAAAAAAAAAACAACTAACAAACAGCAATTACAAAACACGATCAAATAGTTTAAAATATTTTTATAAAGAAAAAACCAAGAAAAACTAAATTGCGATAGCTTAAAATTTATTGCTACTTTGATGGAATAACCAATAAGGTACTTTTAAAAAGCCTGGAATCCATCCTGATAACCAACTTAAACTTGGTACTTGTTTAAAAAGATAACTAAACGATCGTATATTGGTTGGATATTCACCTAAATATATTTATTCAAAAACAAAAATCATTAAATAAAAAAAGCAAATTCAATTAAATAATCTATACCATCTGTATCAGGTATACTGTAAGTTGTACCATAGTCAGCTGTCATAACTATCTTTCCTGAATATTGCATCATTGATGGATCTAGAGAAAAATATTTATTCAATGATAGAAAAAAAAAACAACAAAACTAACTTTGTGCTAGATGAGCAATAATACGCCCAGCATATTCGGCTGATTCTGGTTTATCAAATTTTTTAAGCATTTTAAGAAACTATTCAATAAAATAAGAAACGATTTTTTTTCTTCTCAAAAACAAAAAAATTCAAATTAATATCTACTCCAGCGTTATGTTCTGATGCTAGAATAGTGTCTGTTCCAACACCACCTGGCCAAAGTGATATTGAACCAACATTATGTTTTCTTAATTCAAAAGCTGTATCAGCTGCCATACGATCGCACTAAAATTTTTACAATAAATATTATTATTACGTATACAAAAAAATAAAAATAAAAATAAATAACTAACAGCAGCTTTTCCAACACCATAAGCTACATTGAATAAATAACGAAGACCACCTGGTGAAGATACAAATACAATTAAACCTTGTTTTCGTGGAACCATCAATCGAGCAGCATAAACAGCACAATAGTAATGATTACTATCATACAAACAAAAATATCAATAAAATATTTAATATTCATTGACTATGTCTTACCGTAAACCAACATTGTTAACTTCGTCAAACATATCTGGTTCAACTTCCCAAAATGGTTTACCTGAAGTCATTAATAAGCGCTATAAACAATAAAAAACAACAACAAATCATAAAATTAAATTTTAATACAATATATCTTCAATACTTCAACTCCTTTATATGCATTATTAACTAAAATATCTAATCGACCATCTTGTTCCTTAGTAATTCGTTCAAATAAAGCTTCAATTTCATCTGCATTCTCGTGATTCACACACACCGGAATACATCGACCACCTCGACTTCGAATCTAAAAATATAAGAACAAATCAATATTTCTTAAAAGCTATTAGTACTATCTCTGTGAGATATCTATAAGTCAAAGACTTCACGACTGAAGTCTCTTATATTTTCTTCTCTGAATTAAAATGTGAAATACCATTTAACTGCTTTTACTAATCCCAGGAAGATGGTTTTTTGGGACATATTTCTTTTATGGATGTGCAGTTTCAATGAAAATAGTGAAATACTAACTACATTAAATCAGCATGCACTGAACAATTGGTATACACATACAGTATGAATGTGAGGTAAATCAAAGAACATTGACACAGTGCAATTAGTGAACGTTTTCGATGAATACGTTACTCAACTGCATTAATCTTGCAGAAATGCAATAAGGAAGTAGTTTATGTATTATAATGAGACGTTATCAATGGACTGAATCTTAAATAAAATAAAAAATTTTGAAAAGATCTTGCGTATTTATATTAAATTTTTTTTCGAATATCCTATATCATTTTTCCATTGTCAAAAACATTTCTGCAATGAATATCCAACATGTAAAGTAAAAGGTAATATTCTCATCGCCTTAACAAACTTTCTTTATACTCAGTAAAACATCTCTCTTCATTCATCAACAATTATAACAGACTACTGATGCTGATTCATATGTTAATAGTTTATTCAATACAATTATTTGAATAACTCTACATGTATTGTTTAATATTTTTTTAACATTAAATACTTACAGCTTCAGCAGTTTCTTCTAAACTTCCAGGTTTATCATTAGATGATTTCAGTGTACGACCTTGATATATATGAATATTACATATTATGTAAGGAAAAAAAATTAATAATCATTTCTACCTGTGATATAGACAAGAGCTCCAGCCTCTCCCAATTGAACAGCAATACCTTTACCAATACCTCTTGTTGCTCCTGTAACAAGAGCGACTCGGCCAGTTAATAATTTTGTAGTCATCTGAAAAAAGAATAGTCTTTTGCTGTTTCTTGTTTTTTGTTTTGGGTAAAAAGGAGTTCTCTAGTTATCGTATTTACATTTACATACATAAAGAACATGAGAACAAAAAAATATATGTATATAGAAGCCAGTTTAACAAATCAAGATATATAAACATGAAAGATAAGGGAGTATGAAAAGAAAAAAGCATACGGAAGAACAAAATTTAAAAGATCAATCTCGTTCATTGAAAAAGCTAATTGAAGCAATATATCCATTGGACATAACTTCAAAAATCATATCATCATTAACTAGATGACAAAATGTTGGTCCAAATGGATTTGTTGTATTTGTTGATGATGAACGATGAAGAATAGCTGGTGAATGACGATTATCAAAAATTTCTTGAATAGCTGGCCACTTAAAAAAAAACAAGTGAAGAGATCAACTATAGAATGAAAAAAAAATAAAATACAATTCTTACTCGCGTTGATGGTGTAACAGTAATCTCTTTTCCTGTAACATGATTTCGTACAATTAATTCGAAATTACATGGAAAATAACTAAAATTAAAAGTTAAAATAAAAACAAAAATCTTTAAAAATTTTCTACTTTTCTTACCTATCAAAAAGATAATGACAAGGGAAATTTGTATGTAAAATAAATTTTTTCACTGTATGACTTTGTCCATCGAATAAAATATCCTTAACAAAAAAATGAAATATTCTAATTATATATAAAATTCTATTCTTTTTTTTTAAAAATATTATACCATGCCAAAATTAATATAATTATAATAGAAATCTGATTTATCTTGTGAACGTTGACTCAATGGAATAGTTGGTGATGGATTATGAATTTTAATTTTATCATCTGTTTTATAATAAACACTATTTGGACTACCAATCACCGAAAGAACATCCTTAAATAAATATAAAAAACATTTATAAAAAAAAAACATATTATTTGAAACATACTTGACAAGTATCATCAAAATGAACTGTTGCATCAAGATAATCAATATGATCATCTGGATCGTAAGGTTTTGGTGCATGAGCTAAATAAAAATAAAAGAATAATAAGTTTTCTTTCTTTTTCTTTTGCAACTATCATATAAAATATTCATGTATCTAATGGGACTAAAGAAGAATATTGTCTTATATTGTTATGACGATTTTACTGAGTTTTTCAGACCTTTCTATCATATACTAGAAGTTTCACATAGAATGAATGTTATCACATCCTCAGTCAATTCGCATATGTTAGAAAAAATTCAGTATACCTGCGAAATCTGATATAACAGAAAGAAAATATTCGTTTTAAGTGACATTATCAGTGTATAATAAAGATGATAAGATATCTTTATAACCGAAATTTCGCGTTGAAATGATGATATTGAATTTTTTATGATATATTCTGCACTAGATCAAAACAATTCAGTAAAATTGTCTTAATTCGAGAAGTAAACAATAAAAGCAAAGACCATCCTAGGTTTTGCTTACTCTCACTAGACTCCCTTGCAAGTAGACATGCGACGCAGTTTTGGCGTTCGAAAACTATTCAATCAGTTCAGGCAGTGTTGAGTATTTAGGTAATTATCCAAGCGTTATTTTTAGATACATAGACGGTGACGAAAGCATCTTAAGCTTCTGTCAAATTCGGTGCATGATTACCCATAACATAGTTAAAAGTAAATAGATATACATAATAAGTATCAAAATTATTCAACAAGATTAAAAAATAGGGGCTTAGGAAAACTAGAACCCTAGTTCTTCAGCACTTAGAACGTTAGAGTAAACAATTTTCTACAAAATGAGATGCCTTCACGTTCTCTGCAACGTTTTTTAACTGAGATACAGCTATTAGATTGAAGGTCCAAAAGTGGATTTGCTATAGGAAATAGTAATAAACAATGACTTTGAGGACTTACGTAAGATTGGTGTATCTAAGTTACAAAAATTTCGAAGATGTCTTATTTTGTAGACAATTATTTACTCTATCGTTCTATGTAGTTTGAACAAAATTATATTTACGTGATTGAGGTATTGAAAAACTTGATACTCACTATATATAAAAGTCCTAAAGATTAAGAATGATGCGATTAACTACTTATTCTAGATCTCAAAAGATTTAATCCAAATTGATACGAAAATACAAAGTAACTCTGGTCAAAATCGTCCTTTTTATAAAATCCTAATCGTGTCCATTTTGAATCTCAATTCAGTCAAACTCGCCTTTGCATTTACTGAACTCTACGATCTCAAAAAAGAAAGCATCTACCTTTTTCATAAGAGATCCAAAAAAATTTGAATCAAGTCTCAATCGAGAAATTTTCGAACTCCTAAACAATATTAAAGTAATTCTTAAATAATTAATCTCATATTTGTTTTATTTTTTTAAATACAAACCTTCAACCATTAATCGACATGTTAAACCGATTGTTCTTTGATTTTCGACAATATTTGATAATTTATCAAGAAAAACTGAACGATTAAAACAACTAACTGGCAATGGTGGAACACTAAATTCAAGTGGAACATTTCCATAATAAATATAAATTTTTGAAACAACAGGTGATTGACCAGGTGGAAATTGAAGTGAATGAAGGCCATGCATTGGCTTTGTCTATTCAATTAAAATTATATTATTAAACAAAAAAAAGTGAAAGTAAGAAATTACTTCAACTTGTGGTCCAATTTGATTGAAAAAAAAAGTTAAACCAGGAAAATGCATTAGAAATGATTGACTTTCACGATTGTAATCTAAGATTTAATTATTAATTAAAACGAAAAAATTTAAAAAAAATTTTTTTCCTAGTTACCACCCGGTCTTGTTGGTCCAAATATTTCATTAATATTTTCAATTGTTGGTACAATTTGAGGACTATTAAAACAATTACCACTAAATATCCGAAAGAAAATTTTTAAATTCAATAAAATTCATTGTCTCTTACAAATATTTCAGTTTGACTTTTTTTAAATCATATAATTCAATAAGCTATTCAAAAAAAAAATAACAATGATACATATGATTTATAATTTTTTTAATGTTTTACTTTCAATCGTTGAGTTATTGAGTCAAAATGAAGTAAAATACTATCATTAGATAAATTAAGTGTATAATCCGCACTTAATGGATCCTTTAGAAAAACAAAACACAATAGTTCAATTCATTTTTGTTTATTATTTTTTTTTACTTTATCATTATAAACTAATATAACTGATTTAATTTGATCATCATTTTGTTTAAGTATTTTTATAACTTGATATAAAGACATTCCTGAGAGTAGCAAGAAAAAGAAACAAAAATACAATAACCTATTGTTACTTATGAACAATGCACATACCGAGAATGATTTCCCATTTTGTCGTATGAATAGAACGTTGTTGTGTGATCTCAACTTCAAGCATTTTTTTTTTGTTCTTTTTTGTATGTAAACTTGTAAAAACAAAAAAAGAACGGATAGTTTTATACAAAATAAAGAAAAAAAAACAAAACAGCACGTGCTTCTGATGATGTCCGAATGAGCTTATCTGACAATGAAAGATCGAATCAGATAGTAGATAGAGGTCGCTTATATATGAGTTTATTTTTTTTTTTTTTTAATAAAGAGGTTTTGTCGTCATTAGAAACATTAATGATTAATTAAATAGATTTAGTTAATCAAAACTTGAAAGATAAATTAAATTGAATTCATCAATCAAAATGTTATCCGTTATATTAATATGGAACTATTGAACATTTGATTTTAATCTAGTTGAAGTAGTGTCGCATCCTACATCACTTGATGCATTTTCATATCAAACTCTTGTTCAAACATAGAGGTTTATTATTTATGGAAATTGATGGTAGTTTAACGTTCGTTTAATTGCAAATGCTGAATAAATATTATCATATTATATACGTTTGTACTGTGACAGGCTAACCTAAGACAGCCAACACTGGAGAGATGTTGCGATTTTTCTGGTGTTTGTATAAATTTTTTCTAAGAGAACGTACGAAAAATTTTCGACTTTGCTGGGAAATAATAAAAATTTATCTTGATTGTGGAGGTGTCAAATCTTTCGGTGGAGTCATCCTTGGTACTGTATGCTTCATATTGATCTAATGTCATATTCGTAATACAGGGTGGACCATAAATATTTTTACGATAAAAATATTTGAATGTCTCCGTTCTGCTCGAAGGTATTGAATTGGTTTTTCGTAGCGACGGTTGAGGAGTGTTCAAAGCTTTTTTCTTACCGATAAACAGTTCATGAACGCTGCTCGCAATTGTCAATATTGACTTCAGTACGTAATTATAACCTTTCGTCGCTTCGCCAAAGAAATGCAGAATAGTTCAGACAAAAGGGTTAGGATCCTACATAACGCTCTACTTTATTGTAGTGGCGCATATGAAAACACTTGACTAAACTTCATATACTTACGAAATGAACCGAACAGATCTCTTAATATATAGAAGTATGTATCCATGTATAGAGGGCTAGGCATTAGAAGGGATGAGAAGAAAAAAGAAGAAGGTAAAGTGAATAGAAAAAAGAAGAAGGTAAAGTGAATAGAAAAAACCAAAAATAAAATACACATAGATGAAAATATGATAAAATTTAATAGTTATGTTTTATACAAAAACAGTTCTTATTGAAATTTTATTATTATGTTAGCAGTTAAAAAGTGATCAAATAGCATAGAAAAAGAGAGCTTCGCTTTCTCTATCTTCTCATATAGAAAGAAAATTTCAATAAGCCTATTATAAGAAAATAAGGTACCTGGGCCACTACTTTTGGACTGCCCTAAGTAACTGTTTAATTAATTAATTAACTTATAGATATTGAATAAAAATGTCTTGGTCAAATCAATCAATTCAATCATATTATAGAGATTTTTTACGTTGTGCAAGATGTTCACATGATTTTGAATATGAAAATCCATTATATCATCCAATAACATTACCTACATGTCATCATACAATGTGTAGAAAATGTATTAATATAATACGTAATGAAACAAAATGTCCACAAGATCAAATTTCATTTGAAATAAATCATACACCAATTGATCAATTACCAACAAATTATCCATTACTAATGAGTTTTTATGATTCATCAAAAGTAAATATCATTATATTAACCCAGGTCAGTCACGCTCGGCAGTAAACGGCCGTCCACTAACCAAATACGGCGAAAAACGACAACTGTTTATGTTAGTCATATACAGCAGCCGTAAACGATGATTTACAGCATATTACGGCAATCGTACACAGTGTCCGTAAAAGTTCATCGTAAACTACTACCCTAACAATACGGTGACTGTATACTTTGGTCGAAAAACAATGTAAGGCGTCGTATACGTCAGCCGTTTGCGGTGGCTGTTTACAATGGTCGTATCTGATGCTTTACGGCATGCTACGACAATTGTAAACATTGACCGTACAGTATCGTAGGAAACGACTAGCGTGACAACACGACGACCGTATACACTGGTATTATAAAATGTCGTAAAACACAGTGTGCGTGAGCAGTATACGGTAGTCCCTTACGGCGATCGTAAACGACATTTTACGATGATTTTGCGGCCGACGTAAACAATTGCCATAAACAGCAACCGTGTACGACTTCTGTAACAATATGCCGATTGCATACGCTCATCGCATAATATCGCGACGTACCGTCTTTGTTTATTGTAATTCGTTCGATATAGAATCACTATTTGTTATTGTATTTCGTCGCAAACGATCGTTAATGTCGGCGAATTTCTATTATTGAATATCGATAACATACTCTCATGATGGCGTATACTAGTCGACAGCTAACAAAAGTTGCGTTTCTACAAAGTCGAGAAAGAGTCACGGGCTTTCCAGCAGTGTACCTTAATCGAAAAATAGTCTTTTTTGAGTCTTTTTCAGACTCACCTTATCCTATACATCGGGGTGCCCATCCTGTTCACCCTCATTCGAGCTCAGTGCACATTGTGAGTAACAAGTAAGAAAAATCGGTTTTCAAACACCGTTGCTTGACCTACCAAAAGTCTTCCCTTCGGTCTTCTTGAGACTCACCGTACTCTAAATATAGGGCGGCACCGCCTATCAACCCTCATGCCGCTTGGGTACAAAGCTTCAGTAACAAGTGCGAAAAATCGATTTTACAGCACTGTTACTTGGCCTTTAAAAAGTCTTCCTTTCAGTCTTTTCAGGCCCACCTTACCCTATATATATGGGTGCACAACGTGGTCGTAGTCATTTGAGTTCAGAGTCAGATATGAGTAACAAGTATCAACCATAGATTTTTTGGGAGTATTATTTTATCAAAAACGAGTCTTTTTTAGTCTTTTCAAGTCTCACCCCCTACTATATGAAGGGCTGTATCACGTGCTTGTGATCATTTTAATTGAGATTCAGTTATGAGTAACAAGTATGAACAATAGATTTTTGAGGAGTATTATTTGATCAAAAAGAGTCTTTTTTAGTCTCACCCCCTACTATATAAAGGGCTGCATCACGTGCTCGTGATCATTTCAATTGAGATTCAGGTATGAGTAACAAGTATGAACAATAGGTTTTTGAGGAGTATTATTTGATCAAAAAAGAGTCTTTTTTCAGTCTTTTTTCAGTCTTTTTAAGTCTCGCCCCCTACTATATAAAGGGCTGCAACACGAGCTCGTGGTCATTTCAATTGAGAGTTAGGTATGAGTAACAAGTAGGAAGAATGGATTTTTGAGGAGTATTATTTGATCAAAAAAGAGTCTTTTTTAGTCTTTTTAAGTCTTACGCCTACTATATAAGAAGCTGCAGCACGAGTTAGTGGTCATTTGCATATAGTGTTAGGTATGAGTAACATGTATGAGCAATGGATTTTTGAAGAGTATTATTTGATCAGAAAAGAGTTTTTGGTAGTCTGTTCGAGTCTGACGCCCTACTATATAAATGGCTGCACCACGTGCTGGTGGTCATTTCAGTTGAGGATGCCGTCGTAGCAAAAAGTATGAACAATCGAATGTTTAGCGGATGATTTGATGAAGAAAGAGTGTTTTTCCGTCTTTTTGAGTCCCGCTTCTGTTTTTATACAGACACGCATGTCGAGGTATGTGCTGTTGCAGTGTACAAAGAACCACGAACAAGAACGATGAGTAACCGATTCCGGTTATTGAAGTGTAGTCGTTTGGATAGCTTTTCTGATGAGGTTCCTATATGGTCTCTGAGTAAGAATTCTGCCTCATTTTCGTATATATTTAAAGAAGTGTTCTAGCATACGACCGATTTAAAAGGAAACCGCAATGCCTGAGCGTTTTGTTTTTAACGCAAAGCGTTCCATTAGAGATTATGCCCAAACCCAAGCATTCACTAGAATACAATCCTGCCTTTGAATGAAAAAATCATTAATGGTCTTTTCACATCTGCTTTCATAGTTTTCCACCTCGCAGAAAGTTCTTGGAAAAAGGCTGTGGAACCTAGAAAACGACCTTTTTTCAAGCTTCTGCGCGCTAGCAAATCTCACAAGAAAAGTCTTCACAGCACTCAAACAGAATGTTTCGTACCTATTCGCAATCTTCCGAAGAACTCCAAAGAAGTCTCGCAAGGTGCCAGACTGCTTCCCGTCGAGTTTTTTTCAACTGTTTCACACTATTATAAGGAGTTCTCTTCGGGCCAAAAACTTCTCAAAAACTTTTCGAAACGTCTTTTTCTCTGGGCTCTCAAAAGTCTCAATGAGTCTCAAAAAGTCTCAATAAGTCTCAAAAAGTCTCAAAAAGTCTCAATGAGTCTCAATAAGTCTCAAAAAGTCTCAATAAGTCTCAATAAGTCTAAAAAAATCTCAATGAGCCTCAATAAGTCTTAAAAAGTCTCAATGAGTCTCAATTAGTCTCAATTAGTCTCAATAAGTTTCAGAAAGTCTCAATGAGTCTCAAAATGTCTCAATACGTCTCAAAAAGTCTCAGAACGGTGAATTTACGGCCGAATACGGCCGTAATACGATACATGGAAATACGGCGCAGTTACGGCCGTTTCTCGTCACCGTAATGCTCGACCTGGGAATTATTAAACATTAAGAAAAAAATTTTTTTTTTGTTTTCTTTTTTATTTAAATATAGTTACCAAAGGATAAAGAAACACGTCATGGTCGATGTGCAGCTTATGTGAAACTTGATATATGGAAACAAAATGATTTTCATAGTATAGAAAAATTTCTTGATGAAATCAGAGATGTGCACGGGGCATTACGGGGCGTGACGTAACGCCCCGCACGCCCCATGCGATAGGGGTGAAAATGGGTACGTAATATGTGAATAGCTAATTCAAATGTTACGTATCCATTTTCACCCCTATTGTACGGGGCATTACGGGGCGTTACGTCACGCCCCGTGCACATCTCTGGATGAAATATCATTGATGTTTAAACAAATAAGTAAGAAGAAAAAACAGAAAGTTTATATCATTTTTTTTTGCTTTTTAATGTAATTATTTTTTAGTTAATGGTAGACGATGTTTATTAATATTCAGTCGTTCAACGATACGAAAAGTATTTAACTTATTAAATATTCAAGTTCTTGATTGTAAAAATCATTTAAAAGTTCTTAAAGCAATAAATAATCTTGCTGAACATATATGTATTTATTTTATTCTTCATTATCAAGATCGTCAAAAATTAATCAAAAATATTTTAGTAAATATTGGTCTAAAAGATCATCAATATCTTCAACCAAGTTTGATTTTTTTTTCAAATTACTTTTTTTTTTAATGTTAATCATTGTTTATTAATTTAGATATGATAGAAGAAATTTTAAAATCAATATTATTACTTGTTCAACAACCGTCAATATTATCACGTAAGCATTTGGTACATGCAGTTTTACAGAAAATTAGTGGTAATAATTGGGCTGCAGATAAATTTATTGTTGAATGTGTTATTGATTTACGTTTTCGTGCATCTTGTTTTGAAGTAAGTATAGAACAATAACAAAAAAAAAAAGAAGATCAATGATTCTATCAGAAAATTTTTTTATATTAGGAAAAACGACATGACAATTTGTCATCTTTACATGTTAAAGACGAATATAAAATGTATGAAAATCTTCGTTATGAATTTGACAGCATCTTTATTGAAATAAATATCAAAGCAGGTAAATAAATTTGTTTTTTGTTTAAGTGATATTTAATAATAAATATTGTTATATGTTAAAGAATTAAATATATCACCAGAAGAGTGGTCGTCATTATTATATGGTCATATACAACATGAATCAATAATGGAAATTATCGTGAAGAAATATTTAACATCAGATTCATATGCTAAATCAATTAAAACACTTTCAAAAGCTTTAGAACACGTTGGTGTTGAGCAAACATATGTATTAAAATTTGAAGACAATTTTAATATTTTACCAAATATTGGTTTAGCAAGTGGTAATAATGAAGAAAATAAGCGTTCACCTTGGGTGCGAATTGCGTTCGTATTAAAGAGTTTTGAAGAAGATTTAAAATCTTTACCATATTTCCATCAGCAACAATTAGCAACAAATGTTACGAATGATGGTCAATCAAATGATTTATTATTAACTAAAGGTACATCATTAACATTATATTAATAATTAATACACTGTTTTATGTTTAGGTGCACGGAAAACGACTGAACAATATTTCTAAAAATAATTATATCAAGCAACTGCACAATATAATCAAGTCAAATATAAACTTTATAAATAATATATTTTTCTCGACAGCGACTTTGTGTCACCGGGGAATAAGGCTAACCTTATTCTTTTTGTTTATTTTTTTTTGTATTATGTTTTTTCTTTGATAATGATGCCAATACCAAAGTTTGCTGGTCGACTTTATGTTATGTTTTTTTTTCTCATTTATTTTTTTTTCTTTATATACATATCTTAAAAGAGTAATATTTAATAAAAGAAGAAGAAGAAAAGAAGATAAAATTATATATAGTTTTTGTTTTATTTTCATTATATTGATTTAAATTAAAAAAAAAATTTGACACAAATATCAAGATTTCATTTCGAATATTTATAGAAAAACAAGAAAACAGAAAAGAATCTAAATTATTATAAAAAAATCTTTTCCAATATATATTAATCAACAGACAATTGTATTGTTTATTTGGTCAGATCATTTATAATGAGTTAAAGAAAAAATATTAATTAGCAAAATTTGTTTATTCGTATGTTGTTCAAAAGAATATACTAAAAATTTTTTGTGAAGAAGGCCATTTAATGAAGTAAAGTTTTATCCAGATATTTAAATATTTATATTGGTCATAGCTCATCATAGTTAGATATTGAAATAATTGATAAAGTTTAATCATGATGTAGTTCAATTGAAAATCAAATAGATAAAAATTAGTTTTAATCAACAATTTATTTAATTATTTTCTCGCTTATTAAATAAGTCATCAAATAAACATTCTCGAAATATTCATCAAGAAGAATTTAATTTATCATTAAATAGTAATATATCACAAATATATGCACAAGCTGTTTCTATTCCCTAGACTGAAAGTATAGGGTCTAGAAACGGAAATTCGCCTGTGTCTGTCTGTCTGTCTGTCTGTCTGTCTGTCTGTAACACGTATGGTTACCATATGGTAACTATGTGATCGTTAAAATAAAAATAAATATATATTTCGAATGGCGCGCAAAGCCAATAAAATAAGATTTTCTTTCTATTCCCAAGACTGAAAGGCTAGCGTCTAGAAACCGAAATTCACCTGTGTCTGTCTGTCTGTCTGTCCGTCTGTCTGTCGGTAACGCAGTCAAAATGGCCATTTTTTTTGGCACACGTGACCATTTTTATGGCATAAACGACCACTTTTTTGGCACAAGTGACCATTTTCGTGCCACAAATGGCCATTTTTTTGGCACAAGTGACCATTTTTTTGGCACAAACGGCCATTTTTTTACTAAAATTAACTAGGTAACTATGGTACAAATGAGCATGTAACTATGGCACAAACGGTCATTTTTTTGGTAGAAACGACCACATAACTATGGCACAAGTGACCATATAGCAATCATGGTACAAACAACTATTCCGGTAACTATGGTACAAATGACCATCTAAAGACTGATGTAAATGAACCCATAATAATCATGGGTAAAATGTCAATGGAATAACTATAATTTGGGTAGTGATGTAAAACGGCTTACTTACACAAGCATTTAATTAGTGAGAGTCAGACCAAATGAGCAGTATGGATTTAAAGAAATCGTTTAAATTATTCATTATTGTAAGATTGATTGTGCAATGTTGTATCAATGAATATCTAATTTATTAATAGTTTAGAATTAATGCGTGAATTTAAGCATAAAATATTGATTAATAAAACTCAAATTTTATGAATAATATAATTCATATTTTTGTACGTACAAATAGCGCCAATATAATTATAAAAAAATCGTATTGTTGTCTAATCATATTAGGCGCTATTTATATTCATAAAAGCAAAAAAAAAATAAAACAAAAACGATAAAAAAAAATTAAATTTGTAAATGCATCATCTTTACTTAGAGTGAGAATTCTCCAAATTAAGTTTTCTGGTCGCCTAAGGTATACTGGTCATATTATCAATGTTGCGTATTACTTTTTTAATGTAGCTTTTTATGCTATTCCTTTCGTACATGTATTCTATCAGTCTAGGGCTAAGTGAATCGCTTGACGATGAACGTTACTTGTTCATTATAATCAAATAATAAGTGTTTAATAATAATTATCTATATACAGGGTTGGAAAAAATATTTTGCCAGGGGGGTACCGCTACTATTTCCAATAGGACATATAATGAATTTTATACCAAAAGAAAGCCCGTGAAAAATGGGGTTTACTGATAGCAAAAAATAAGGGTTATGAGAACTTTTTTATTTGAAAACCTTCAAAGTTTAAAGAATTTTTCATGAAATAATTTTCAAATAGTCATAGGATATAGAAAAGTGGATTTTTTTCCGGAAAAATGAAAATATTTTGCTTTAGTGGTAATAGGTTCTAACTATGACTCAAAAGGTGCTATTTTTCTTTTGCGTTCTGTCCTCTGTTCCACGTGGTCTTAGTGAATAAAAAGGTTTTTTTGTCTTTCGTCTCCCTGAAAGTTATAGAAAAATAGCTCGAACAACTTATTTAACGTAGGTCATTTTTTGGTTGACATCGTTCATAAACGAAAACCTATCGTTGCCGTGAACTAATTCTATTTTGTTATTGTAAAATGGCTGGCACTTATGATATCGAAGAGCAGAGAGTTATTGACAGAATTAGGTGTATCGCTTTTCGCGAAGCTCGAGATGCTGGCGCAACATTTATCGATCGAAATTGGATCGCCGATAAAGTTCATCGTTCGATTCGATTTATCACAGACTGGTGGCAAAAGTCATATGATCAATGTTTTGCTGATTATTCAAACGCTGGTCGTAAGCTTAAATTATCACAAGCAAGTCAAGACATCATTCGTGAGGCGAGTGGTCGACAAGGAAAAAGTTGTTCCGTTGTGGCGAAGAAGATTGCAGAAAAGCAGAAGGAATATGTCACTAGAAGAACAATTAATAATTATCGTCACAGAGAAGGATTAAAACCATTTCATGTTATTCCACAACCGCTAAAATCTGAAACTCACATATCAGATCGATTGTGGCTGTGCGATTGGTTAAAAGATTGGACTGAAGAGGATTTTCTTCATCTGGCACCATCGGATGAATTTTACGTGTGGGTTGTTCGTCGACCAAATTATCAGAATGATAGAGTTTGGGCAAAAAGCGTCGATGATATCGAAGAAGACGAACATTATCGTGAAATGGTTAAAAACCAACCATGCATTGGAATTTTTGTGATATTCACGGCTAAAAGGTTACATTGGGTGATTAAAGACAAAGGTGAATCCTGGACTGGTCAATATTTTCGTGATATAATTTTGACTGAACACGTCCTTCCATTCTTAAAAAATGAAGAAAATGTCATTGATCCCGATGAAGTTATTTTTATCCATGACAAAGCACCATGTATGCGAGCATATCCTACCCAACATTTGCTTCAAGACAATGATATTAAATTTTGGGGTAATGATATTTGGCCTGGAAATTCACCTGATCTCAATGTGGCAGAACATATTGGAACAATTATCAAAGATGAAGTCGAGAAAAAAATGTTATCAGAAACAAGAGATTCTCGCTACCTTGAAGAAACACTCAAGATGCATCTTTCAGATGTTTTGACAAACATGGAAACCGACAGTGATCTATTCGAAACCGTTCTATGTTCGTATCCATCTCGATTACGTGCAGTAAAGAATGCTAACGGTCGTCATACTGATTATTGATTGTATCAATTCAGCAATGAAGAATAAAAAATTTTGTATGAAGTTTAGCTCGATTTTTATCTCACAAGTGATATTTCTCAAATCTATCATCGGTGAATCTTTCTAAATTTAGGCATTTTGATATACGAAAGTTTCCATAACCCTTATTTTTTACTACCAGTAAACCCCATTTTTCACGGGCTTTCTTTTGGTATAAAATTCATTATATGTCCTATTGGAAATAGTAGCGGTACCCCCCTGGCAAAATATTTTTTCCAACCCTATATATATATATTGAGTTTGGAATCTAGTTGAGATTGGAATCACTTAGTTCACTTTGTTTGTTTAAAAATTTTTCTAACACGTATTCAAGAAAACTTGTTTGTTTCTTGTCAAATTTATATTTACTATTACTTCTCGGACAATAAAAAGTATCTTCGTACTGTTATCTTGTTGATGAAAAGTCATTAGTCATTCTATTTATTGTTTCCTTCTAAAAGTAAATCTTACTCATCATTTTCCTTATATTGTAGTTTCTATATAGGTGCTCGGGACATGGGGATGTTGAACGATTGGTTGAAACAAAATCGAGAGTACTTGAGCTATTTCTTTCTATAGAATAGATGTTTTTCGAGCTGCGGGACATGGAGACATTGAATTATCAGTTGAAACGAAATCGAGAGTATTTGAGCTATTCGTTTCTATAGAATAGACACTTTTTTCGAGCTATGGGACATGGAGACATTGAATCATTGGTTGAAACGAAATTGAGAGCATTTGAGTTATTTGTTTCTATAGAATAGATCTTTTTTTCGAGCAGCGGAACATGGAGACATTGAACGATTGGTTGAAACGAAATTGAGTATTTGAGCTATTTGTTTTTATAGAATAATTTTTTTTTTTGTAAGAGATTCACAGGAAAAAACAATTAATGTAATTAAAAACAAACAGACATAGAATGTGTTTCTTGATTGAATGTTCCATAGCAATGAACATCAATCAATTAATTATAAGGAGATGAATAAAATTCATAAAATTTTAATATTCACTAAATAAGAATGGTTAAAAATGAAAACTTTCTATATGTAAATATTTTAAAATAATTCCAAATAGATCATAGAAATTCGACGAATCATTTAGAATCGCTAAAATTACAAAAGTTGAATACAATAGTACACAAACATTGTATATATATATATATATATATATTAAATATAAAAATCAATTGGCTTTGCTATTATTCTCTTGCCAAAAGGTTTATTTTCTATCTCAAATGTTCTCGAAAATAGTTTTAAATATTTCTATAATTCGTAATTAAGTTTACAGTCAATGAACGTAACTCTTTAATTGTTTGTTTTCGTCGGACAAACCGTATTCATCTCATTTGGTAGAGCCCTGCGGTTCCTTTTCCGGTTACTAAAATTTTTGCTAGGAACCGATGATTTCACCGTAACATACAAAATACTGAGTAATTGAGTTCTTGTTAGAAATTTCTACAATTTATCCTCGGGGTTCTTCGTGTTTATTACTTCATCAAATAAGTAGTTGTTTCAAAAGGTAGAAGAAAAAGTCAAATAATGAGATAAAACACTAACATACAATATATTCATATGAAATATTAATATTACAAGTTCTAAAAAACACCTACTTCATCATGTCCTTATCCTCTCAATGATCATGATCACAAAGAATAATGTCATCTTCGTTACTCGTTCTAAACGTCTTTTTTGTTGTCGTAATTCTAGATTGTTATTTAGTTTGGATAGAAGATTGTAGAAGATGACTGTTCAACCATCTTTCTCTTCGTTTCAGTTGTATCAACTTCATCAATTTTTCTCATCATATGACTCTAATGATACTAAACTTTTCTGAAAAAATAACAATAGGAGTATTTTTTTCTGCACCAAGATCGATGCGCTTATCGATACTTGTGTTTTTTGCAGACGAGAACAGTACTTCGACAATGGTGTTCGATATTTCTACAGCGTAAAAATCTTCAGCTATAGAAAGTAAGATCGATAATTTTAAATTCTGTTGTCGCGGAATTATAAAACATCATCATGTTTACTAAATGGGACATTTGATGGCATATATTCATCTAATTCATACGGCGTTGTTGACAATGTTAAGGAATTTTGTGGTATATCAAAACAGTATGAAAGAGGATCTTTTGATGTTGTCGATTAAGAATCAAGTGAATTTGTATGAACAGGTGATGGAGTAGTAGTTGTACATGTAGTAGATAGTATTGTTGGCTGCCGTTTAATAATTTCCGTTTTAACTGACTTACGAGCTCTTTCTTGAAAACAAGGATTACTACGAAAACTTTTCATAGATAAATGAAGAAAGGTACTGATATAATGTGCATCTTGCAACATCTGCACATCTTGAAACTTTTACCCTCAAGAAAAATGTCAGTTCCTGACGGTTCCGGTTCCGGGTAAGAGAAACAGAAAAATCCTGTTCTTAGTTCCATTTTTTTGGAACCGCAGAGATCTAGAAAAAAACTACTGAAATTAGAATCTGCCATGCATTGTCAAACAACAATGTGTGTATTTTTATGTTCAAATCTATTTACAGCAATATAAGAAGAAGAAGAAAAAAAGCTTCCAGACGTCATAAAAAGAATGCGAAATGTGACGCCGCGTATAGAATTATGTTGCGATGGTTTTTTGTTTCATTCTTTCGTTTTCTTCCGGCACCAGAGATGACAGTCGATAAAAAAAGCCAGTGGAGCACTTCAGTGAAACAAAAGAAGAACCCGAACAGTGACAACTATAAAAACAAATAAAAACATCTATAAAAAAAAATTCCAACATACTATATAAGTTCTATTCATTTTATTTTTTTCATTGATTAAACAACACGCACACCATGGACAAAAAGAAAAAGCCAATAAAACCAACAAAAACTGCTGCTCTTGCTGCATCGTCTAAACCTATGAGCATAAAGCCACGACGGCTTCCTCCTACTCGTATGGTTCAGAACTTTTTGCTCGTCTGGCTCGACAGTAACATCGATCCAGAAAACAACCAAGATTGCAAACATACAATTTCACAATTAAAAGAAGTAGTCAATAAGGTCAATACATTCACGGATGTCGATGAATGTATCAATTTTATCAGTAACTTCAAACAGGACAAAATTTTAATGATTGCTTCTGGTGCACTGGGTCAAACGACAGTTCCTATTGTGCATGACATGTCACAGGTCACTACAATTTATATTTTTTGTGAAAACCAAGCTCAGCATGAACAATGGGCCAAACAATGGCCAAAAGTAAAAGGAGTCTTTACAGATATTGCTCCGATCTGTAAAGCCCTTCAACAATCAGCACAGGAATGTGATCAAAACATGATTTCGATCAGTTTTGCCACCACTAGTACTGAAAGCGGCAAGCCAAATCTCAATCAATTGGATCCCTCATTTATGTATACACAAATAATGAAGGAAATTTTATTAACCATCGATTTCAACCAACAATACATTAAAGGATTTACTATGTACTGTCGTGACATTTTCACCGATAATTCGAAACAACTTCATCATGTTAATAAACTTGAATTAGAATATCACAAGCATTGCCCAACTTGGTGGTATACGAATCAATGCTTTTTGTATTCAATGCTCAATCGATCGCTACGAATGATGGAAGTCGATCTCATCATAAGCATGGGATTTTTTATTCGTGACCTTCACAAGCACATCGTCAAGCTTCATAAGAAACAATATATTAGACATGCACAAATGAAATCGTTTACTGTCTTTCGTGGTCAAGGATTGGCGAAAGCCGATGTTGATCGAATGATAAATATACAAGGTGGACTTTTATCATGTAATAATTTTTTATCGACTAGTATGGACCGTCATGTATCTCTCGCCTTTGCTCGTCAAACTATGGAAACATCCGATCTTGTTGGTATTTTATTCGTTATAAAAATTGATCCGTCAACTTCATCAACACCATTTGCTGACATCCATGATGTGAGTTGTTTCAAACGAGAAAAAGAAATTCTTTTCTCCATGAATTCCATTTTTCGTATTGGATCAATAAAACAAATCGATGAAAATAATCGTCTTTGGCAAGTCGATTTAATATTGACTACTGACAATGATTCAGATCTTTATGCACTTACTAAACAAATGCGAAAAGAGATCGATCCTTATGCGACAGGGTGGAATCGTTTAGGTCATTTGCTAATTAAACTGGGACAGTTCAATATAGCTCAAGAGATTTATGATATCCTGCTTGATCAAGCAACAACTGATTCGGAAAAATCATTAATGAATCATATGCTTGGCATAGTCAAGGATGGTCAAGGTGAATACAAAGATGCCATCGATTATTTTAAAAAATCCATTGAAATGAAACAGAATATTTGTTCACCCACGGATTCCAATTTGACTGCTTCCTATAACAACATTGGTTTGGTATATGACAACATGGGTGACTATTCGAATGCACTTTCATCTCATCAAAAAGCACTGAAAATCTACCAAAAAACTCTTTCTTCAAATCATCCTGATTTGGCTGCTTCTTACAACAACATTGGTTCGGTGTATGACAGCATGGGTGACTATTCGAATGCACTTTCATCTCATGAAAAAGCACTAGAAATTCGTCAAAAAGCTCTGCCTTCCAATCATCCTGACTTGGCTATATCCTACGGTCACATCGCTACTGTGTATAACGGCATGGGTGATTATTCAAAAGCACTTTCATTTGCAGAAAAGTCTCTTGCTATCGTACAAAAATCACTTCCACCAACACATCCTCTATTTAAACGAATGATAGAGATCGTTGACTATATAAAAAAGATGTGAATTTGTTTTTTTTTCTTTTGGCTTGCTGAATAAGTCGGTTTTGATTGCTACTCACTTCCATTTTGCGGCTTTTCACAGCTCACTATCGCACACGCGCGCGATCACGGAAACTCCCTGTAAGCATGAAATGCGTACACGCAGAGCGGATCACGCTGGACTGTTACGGCAATGAATGTAGGTATGGCGAAGCATAACGCCGACGGGGATCATACATTCATAGTAGGCCTTCCCAAGTACTACACTGCTTTTGTCGTAACACGCACAAGAAATCTCCTTGGTCAGATTACAAAGCCACCTGACAGACTGCGATATAAGATACTACCTCTTCCTCCTTCCCTACACAACGATATCGTTCGAAATAAAAGTTTTACATAGAATATAACAATAAAGATTCGCTCAGTATCTGTAGATAAACGAAACAATATTCCATGCGAGATAGGTTATATCTATCCTTATCGAAAAACTATCTTGAAAAGTCCTATTGGCCACTAGGACTTCTCAACTTATCTAGATATATTCACTCTCGATTAGAAAAAAAACTAAACTCAGTTAGTACTACACTATTTCTCTATGCTTCTTCTTAATAGAAAAAAAAAGAATAATAAACAATATATCCTATTTGCGATCGGAATGTATAAATCATTGCATGAATTAATTAATAATGTTATGGCTCAGCCGAAACGATAACATCGAAGTCGATAATTCAACTTCGGAACATTGTAAACAATTTTATTGTAATATAATATAATAATCATAATAATATAATGTTATTCATTATCATTGTAAAATATTTTAGTAATAATTTTAAAATATCAATAATATATATGTATATTATTAATGTAACCTATGTAAATAATGATATGGTTTCATATGAATGTATAAATTTCATTATAATACGTTTCATAATCATTAGAATAAATGTATATTGTACCTCCCAAAAAGAAAGTTATTAATAGACTACTTACTTAATGTGTTGATGACGAGATGTTCTATTGAATAGCATGATTTCATACTTTTCGAGATAAAAAATGTAAAAAACTACTTAAGAAACCTCACAAAATGTTCAAAAATGCCATCCTTTTCATATGGAAGAAAAACACTTGATTTTTCAATAAAATTAGCTTTTGTTCATTATTTTTACTGTCTCAAATGTTTCGAAACGTACTCATTTGATGTAGTTTTTCATGCGGCACCGATTGAGTACATTTCGAAACATTTGAGACAGTAAAAATAATGAACAAAAGCTAATTTTATTGAAAAATCGAGTGTTTTTCTTCCATATGAAAAAGATGGCGTTTTTGAACATTTTTTGAGGTTTCTTAAGTAGATTTTTACATTTTTTATCTTAAAAAGATGGTACCAATAAATCCAGTTTTTGACGCGGTTTAATTTAGTATAAAATACATTCGTGGTATCATTGATACTTTAAGTTGTAGAGGGGAGGCGTAAAGGTTTTGTAACACCCTATACATAAATGCAGTGCGAAGCGATTTCAATTTTTGGTAATACGATTTCAATTAATATAAGGACGATAAACGATATCGTCTACAATTGATTCTGTCCTGTCGAAGGTTTGCATTATTTCTCCTGCTCACAACAGCTGACTGGAGATTAACTCACCAAATTTTAATTATCTTATGTATAAACTGGAGACCATATCATCAAAATCACAATTTTGCGAAGCTTACTGAAGACTCAAAAACTTTCGTATTATCGATCTGACATAGTTCGAACGAATTTCTAGCAATCCGCCATTCTCTAGAACATTGTGATACAAAGTATAGATTTTATTGAAACGCAAAATATGCAAAATATGGTGGTCAAATGCTTACACAACCAACTACAGATATGCTCTGCTTTACACCGCATTAATAAATCTGTTTATGTTATTTGACATCAGTATAAAATGTTATACTATCGTTTTAAAGTGAATATCGACAATTGAAAGCAATATCCATTAACGATTTTCTTATGAAAGTAGAAAAAAGAAAACTTCTCTGTATCATTGATGTGAAATAATCAGTCCAATACCTTTGAGTAAAATAAGATTAATCAAATTTAACCAGTTTTTTGTATAACTAATCTTAAACAAATTTATATTTGTATGAAAAAAAATGAGACTTAAAAAATCATCTAGATTTTTATCATGATATTATACTGTAATCTTTCTAAATCAATGTCAAAATTTCTCAAGTTTCCTGTCATTTATTTCAATCGTTAAATAGAATTCTTCATTGTTCAGCATTGATATTTTATCTTATATTGATTATTTATGTAAAATATCAAGACACAATATTAGATTAGAATGATTTCGCTATACTATTATTTATTGTCATACTTATTATTGTTTCTAAATCAAAAAATTTGCTTATTAACATTCATAGTTTGTTTTTGTTACGGCGATTATGGTAGGTATGATAATTAGTTAACTATCATCAGATATCAAATCAGCTATTTAACAAGATAGTAACAAAAGATCAGAGCAAATGACTTGTTGTTTGTTGAAAGAAACCTTAAAAATCATCAAATAATCAAAAAAAACAAACCTTAAACGTTTTGCCTTTCTGTATATTTCTAGAGAATAGACAAAATAAATACAAGCATCATACCATTGGATTATAGATGAAATTTAATACAATGATAAGAATGAGAAGTAGTCTCATTCTTGATGTCAAATCAATTGAAATAGAAAATCATTAAACATGATATTTATAGAACAAAAAAAAGTATTATTTTGAAAGAATTTTTATTAGAAAATTTATTATATTTTATTATTTTTATGATCAATCAGATACAAATTTCACATATTTAATTGTTCATTTAGTATCATGTTAAATGTTTATTCTCATCAATAAATTGAATTATATTGAGTATGAAATTTTCGCTCGAGTAAACATCAATATAATGTATATAATAATAATAATAATAAAAATAAATATGCGGATATATTATAGATTTAAACTGTTCATCTTTATGATAATTAAAAAATAAGTGTATCTTCTATCATCAATCATATATTTTTATATTGTACAGTATGAATAATTTATACAGTATAATTAAATCACAGTTTCTATTAAGATCTAAAGATTAAATATTGTTTACATATGATAACATTGTTTAATTGGTGTCATATATATATATATATAAGAAAATAAAATGATTCCATTTATACTTTTTAACTTTGTCTCAATAGACTAATAACAAACGCGTGTATACTCAATTGTTGATAATAGAAATTTGCATTATTCATCTATTAAACTCATCGGTTTTGTTATATTTTCATTCTTTTCACACATTTCTCATTGTACATACATATATATATATATATACACATATATATGTCTACATTCATTAGTAGTCCTTTCGCTCTGTCTCACAATAGCGGCGACTACTAAATAGGTTAGAAGAGTGGTCTGTCTAGACATATGTGCACTCATTCATGTGCACATCGACAAGCCATCAACATTGGTAGTTGCTTCCTGTGTGGATTGAATTTTTTTTTCTTCTTCTTTCTCTTCGATAGTATTATTTGATAATTCTTCGTCAATTGACCAACAACCAATACTCGGTCATTCTCTTGCGGATACATAGACCAGACATCAATGCAAATATATATATATATATAGCGGTGACGATGCAAGTGAACGAGAAAGAGAAAAAGTTTTCTTTTCTTTTCTTTTTTTCTTTTTTGAGTAATAAAAAGAAAGAAAGAAAGAAAAAATAAAGTCAGAGAATGACGCCGATGAACTGGTCAGTCGTTTGTTATGTAGTTCATGGAGAAGTATGTAAATGTGTGGAAATAAAGACATGAATGGATATTATCGATGATAATATATAGATAGTTTAGAGAATGAATATTGATATGTAATGTTAAACAAATGGAAGAAAGAAGTTTAATTTATCAAGATTAAAGGTATTTTTGAAGACATATATTTCTAATTTTATTATTCGTAGGATGCTATATAATTATAAGTATAAAGAATATACATATATATATGTCAATGAAAGATTTCATTTTTATTTTCCATCTGATCATTCTATTGAATGAAACAATCAAAAACCAAAGTTATCTTTCGAATAAATATATAAAAAAAAAATGAGAAATAACATACATATAGTTTTTTTTTTCCTGTAGTGTAACAGCGACTCATACCATCATACTGACAAGTGATCAACAACCATCTTATCAGCTGGTCTAAATAAACAATGGTAACAACGGCCATCTATAAACATTCATCATCAATCATATGTACAAAATTCTTTTTCTTTATCGTTATTTTATCATAATGATAAATCATATCGTAGAAACTTCGTATTCATTTAATCTATTTCGGGGGAATCATTATTTCTCATTTTTTTTTGTTTTCTTTAACATGTTTTTCGTTTCTTTGTGTGGAACTTGTCCTTTCTTCTCAAGTTTGATGACGAACAGCGCGAGGTCCACAACAGTGATAATAATTATGTATACAAAATCAGCGCTGTTGTTTGTATGGGTATATCTTCATTATTTTACTCTTCTTGTAGTTTGTTTTCTTTTTCATGTTGTCATTGTTGTCATTATCTAATCATTTTGGATAGAAAAATCTTTTAGCAAAGATTATTAATTAAACATTTTTTTTTCTATGCTGTTAGTCACATATAACATGCTTTTATTTATCCAAAAAAAAAGAAAAAGAAACAAAATGACATCGACATAGATAACAACAGCAAATGGAGACAACAAAGGAGAATTATATGTTTGAACAAAAAGAAAACTGATGAATGAACAAGACAAACAAGAAACGTTTTTGTTTTGCTATATGTATTAGACCTCGAAGAATTAAAAAAGATCATCGAGCATCATATGGGAATAATGTCAAAAAAGGAAAGAAACAAATCCATTCTCTATTTGTTGTTGTTCGCTATTGATATATACATACACAAACATACGCACAAAAAAGAAACATATAGCAGCAAGAAAAAGATGTGGGCAGGAATAACAAATGTTCCATTTTTCTTTGGATTGTTTCAATTACGGCCACGATAACCACCACCACCACCTCCGCGGCCACCTCCACGACCATAAGGTGCACCACCGCCACCTCCTCCTCCTCGGCCACCACCACCACCTCCACGTCGCATTGGACCACCACCCGGTGATGATCCATAATTTTGACCAAAACCGAAACTAGATGGTGCGCCAAAGGCTCCAAAACCTAAACAAAAATATCTGTAAAAACGAAATTAATTCTCTAAGTATTTTGCTTACCATCATCATATCCACCTCGAGGTGGTCCTCCCATTCCATATCCTCCTCCTCCTCCGCCTCCTCCACCCATAGGTGCTGAACCACCATAACCCATCATTCCGCCACCACTTCCTCCTCCCATATCACCACCATAACCACCACTATACGGTGCAGGTCGATTACTATAATCTCCCCCGGCTCCATAGCCGCCACCACCACCACCGCCACCACCAGATCGGTAACCTCCACCTCCACCACTACCACCTCCACCAAAATTTGATTCACCACCCATAGGTCCCCATCCACCGCTCATTCTTGATGACGGTCCACGCATACCACCACCACCGCCGCCACCACCACCTTGTCCACCGTAGCTTCCTGCAGACATTCGACCACGATTTGTTTGATCTTTTGGTAAAGCTTTTTCGACATTAACAGGATTTCCTTTGATAACATGATGTTTTTCTAATACAATTTTATCTACTGGATCATAACTATAAGAAAAAATAAATACAAAGAAAACAATCTAATCTTCTTTTTGATAAAAATAAAAATTCTTACTCATCAAATTCAACAAATCCAAAACCACGTAATTTTCCTTCATTTGTTTTCATAATAACAGCATCAATAATATTACCATACTAAAATCAAAACATGCCTTTTTATTTTTAATAATTATATTATTTAATTATGATTTACTTTTGAAAAATATTCATTGAGATCATGTTCGTTGATTGTTCCTTCTCGAATACCACCAACAAATAATTTCTTAGCACTTAAGGCTGATTCTGGTTTTCCACTTTCTTCTCTTGGTACAGCTCGTTTTGGTTCAATTTCACGCGAATCAAGAACATGTGGACGAGCTGCCATTAAACGATCGACCATTGTCGATGAGGCATAAGTAACAAAACCAAAACCTATTTCAATGAATTAAATATAAATATTAAATAATCAATACTGTATATTTACCTCGAGATCGACCTTCACGATCACGCATTATAATACAATCCTAAGAAAAATAGAAATCATTTCTCTCTATTACATTTTTCAAAAATTCATCAAAAATTTTAATTAATTTAATCAAATTTTATGTGTAACTTATTTCGAAATTTAAGCAACATTTTTTTTTGTCATGGGCGAATACAGTTCGTCTAGTTACCTATAAAAAATTTTGTGCTTAACATATTCATTGTTGAAGAAATCGATTTTTCCATATGATAACAAAACGCTATGAGAAAAATCTGCATATAATAGTCTACTCAATATTTAAAACTAATTTGCGTCAAGTTTCGACTATAAGGAAAACACAGGTACGAATATTCAAGAATACAATTGTAATAGGATCAAAAAAAAATTCGCATCAATATTGAGACTACAAAGACTTCATACTTTTAGTATACTTCAATCTTTATAGGCTTTTCTGTTTTTTTTTAACCTAATTTTCACTATAAAAACATCGTTTCAATATGTGAAAAACAACATTTTTAAAGTAACTCGACGAGCACTCTATCCAACCTTGACAAAAAAGTTTTACTCAAATTTCAAATTGCCGACAACTTAAAAATAAAAACTTTTCAACAACATCTCTGTAAAGTCATTATATACCCAACATATCTTCACGATTATCTTTGAAAGCAAATGTCTAATAGAAAACACATGTCTAATAGAAAACACATCATTTTAACTATCAACAGACATCTAATGATGCTAATTTATAAATAATATCTTTTCTAACAATGCTAATTCGTTTATACTTACAACAATATCTCCAAATTTTGAAAAATAATCTTTAAAAACTTGATCATCAGTTTTATATGAAAGTCCACCAATAAAAACTTTTCGAAGAGATTCTGGTTCTAAATCATTTTTATTATATGTTTGTTGTTCATTATTATCATAAGTATTTTTTGTTGATTCCATTTGTTGTTGTTGTTGTTGCTGTTGTTGTTGTTCGGTTTGATTATTTCCATTTGAATGAAACATACCATTTGTTGATGTTTCTGTTGATTCATTTTTTAACATTGAATTATTTTCATCTTTAACAACCGTATCGGTTAATGTATTTGTTTCATTCGACATTTTATTTTATTTTTTAAACTGATAATCGTTTGATCATCTAAAATTAAATCTTCAATCGTCGATTGATTTTTTCTTTTTTGTTCTTTTATTTTATATATTAAATACATATATTACTATATACAAATCCTCTCGTTACAAAACACGAAATATATTATATATTACAAACGCAATTGTGTATATGTGTGTGTGTGTGTGTGTACTGTCGATCGCATTCGTAATGCTATTTCTCTCACTCGTTCACGAGATGCAGCACTTCCTAATGCCTGCCTCTGTTGACTAAATCTACAAATAGACAAGAAATTATTATATTGTCGAATTTATTCCGTCAATACTCAAAACTCTCTCATTTTATATTTGTTGAAAATTTTTCAAAAGAGAGAACAAAAAAAAAGATGTTTACCTGAATATTCTTTTGATGTAAACATTGTTTACAAAAACGAAAAACGTTTAATCTAGAAATAAAAATCAACATATTATTGAATTTAATTATCTAATCGTTCATGAATATTATAATAATCTATACAAGCAAGAAAATCAAGTAATTTTATATGTTTTATAAGATTATTATCAAGAAGTATATCGGGTGTAGATGATTCATATATAATATATGTCATTATTGTTTGATTTGTATTATTTGAATCAGTATCACTATTAATTCGATGTAATTTTGGTTCACGTTTAAGTAAAATAGCACCAGTTATTTTTATTAAATCAGTTATATCTTCTTTTTTATATGTATGAAATTGACCATAAAGATAAAATTGACATTTATTAAAAAGAAGAGATTCCTTGAAAAGAAAAAAGGAAAAACAAAAATAAAAATTATTTATTAAATATTTATTTTCATTTACATTTTGTTCATGTTTTATTCGACTAATATGTGATCCATTTGAATTAGGTTCAAGTTGCGAACCAAGAATTTCATAATCATTTTCATTTATCCATTGTTTTTGTTTTATACATTCTTCAATCCCTAATAAAGACGAAAAAAAACAAATTATCAATAAAATTTTTCTGATTGTTTTACATTTTTCTGAAACAATCCATTTGCCAAGAATAATACCACGTAAATAATTTATTGTACGAAAAGCTATTTTATCACTTTCACCACATGCTATCACATGAGTAACTAAACGAAAGAATTTATTTAAACAAATGATTAGAACAAAAAAAAAATCAAATATATCGAACCATTATTTTCAACATTTTTAGTTGTTGTTACACATTTACGACCAAATATTGTTTGAATAGATTTTATTAATGATTCTTTACGTGTTTTATCAAAACCAGTTAAAAAAAGAATATTTGATGATGATATTGTTCGTATACGTCGTCTTGGAGGTGGAGCTATTGGTAGATCATTATGAGTAAGATTTGTACATTGATTTTTTTCGAAAAGTAATGAAATATTTGGATTATTTAATTCAGTAACAAGATCAATTGCAGTTTTACCATTTTTATTTCTTTTTTTTTTCAATAGAAAAAAAATTAAAATATTTTTCTATTTAAAAGAATTGTAAACATACTTTATATGTGGATCAGCTCCATTTTCAAGTAAAAATTTAATTACACATTCGTTCGTATTTTCATTTAACAGTGCTTCATGTAAAACAGTCATTTGCTCTTCACCACCTTGTACATTAATATTAGCATTATTAGCAAGTAATAATTCCATCAATGGAATATCGCCCATAGAACTGGCCTAAGAAAATAATAGTAAAACTTCGTTCTTAATACATGATATGTAAATGCACTAATTTTATAAGATAAGAGAAAAAGTTTAAATATGTTATTTAATACGATAGCATTGATTAAACTTCATCATTCAAAAGCGGCAAGATGTAAAACTAATAATTAACTTTTAT